TTTCCATCTTCACATCGAAACCTTCAGTAATTTTAGCCATCATGACTTCCATGTCGAAGCCTTCAGTAGCTTCAATCATCTTACCCAGAGGCTCTACATATAAATCCTCTTCAACCTTCAAAGGGTCTTCGTCAACCTGCATTTTTGGCTTTTAGCCAAATTGGAGTCTCTCTTCTTTCAAAGCTTTCTGCACCAAATCCCTGAAAAGTACACATTGAGATTTTTCATGACCAAGAAAATTTTGACTTTTAAAAGTCTGAACTTGTTGAGGTATTGGTCTATTGTCTCAATGCTCTTTCGTTTGACAATGGCCAATTATGTTAGGCTTATTTTGGAATGCCCCATGTGAAGCTGCTCATGGAATGATTTCTCCAGCTGAATCCACGTTTGGATCGACTGTGGGGGAAGTGTTGTAAACCAAGTAAACTCATTCTTCATGAGGCAGTTGGGGAAGTATTTCATCCTTAAGTCACCCAGTTTGGTTTGGTACCTAGCAATATGTTCGATAATGGACTCGGCGACGTCCCCTGAGAGCTTGGTGAACTTTGGGAGTTTCCAACCCCTTGGTAACTCCGTTTGCAAAACAAAATATGGCAGTGGCGAGGCATATGTGGTCCTCTGACAGCCAGTGTTCATTCAACTCCTAACCATAATTTTTCGACAATGGCTTCTAGGTTTTGTTCCCCAACTATTGCCTCATGTCGAACTCGCCTAACCATTTGGTCATCTTTTTGGTTTCGATTCACTATTACCACTGGAGGTGGTTCAATAGATCTTGGTATCTGTTCGGAACCTTGGGGGATTTTCTACTCATGGCCAATGGTTTCGTCGACCATTTCCTCATATTTCACATGCAACTCTGGAGGTGATGGTGGTGTAGCATGTCGAACTGGCACTCATGGAGCACCAAGTAAATTACCAATACGAGTCATTTGAGTTGCCAACATTTGGTAACTCTGAGCCAAACTCTATATTAAGGGTCGTAATATGGTCCTCATTTGCTGTGTGAGCAGATGGACCATTTTGTGGCCACTTTCATCCATCTACTGCCTCATAACTACAACTGAACTTGTAGTGAAGTTGGTATCGCCTGGGATGAAAATCCCAACCCCGTCGGACGACCAAACTTGCCTCTAAAAGGGCTTGTTGCATAATAGGGGGTGTCGAACGCTGACTCCGAATTTTTAGCAAACGTCAAATAACTATTGTGTAATCCTCCCATCATCGTTGTTGGCATTCCGTATTGTCGATCCCCTCCATACATAGGTGCGGTAAGGCTAGGGATGTATTGTCCAGTATTATTATCCACGTTTGACCTGGGAGTCATCGGTTGACTCGTTGCTATCGGTGTGCTTTGGGATGACGAAGGAGCAACCACCGAAGTTATAATAGCGTCAGATGCTTGATAAGCACCATTATTTCCTCCCAGGGGAGGTTCCCTATTTGGGTTCAGATTTTTGGGATCAACCATTTTTCTCCCCCTTCTCAATTTCATGCACGAAACGAGAAAGACTCAAACACAACGTGTCCCACCAAGTGTGCCAATCTGTTTCTCGCAAACAATGTCTAGTCTCTTATTAAAGATTACTTGCAGGATCTACTACAGGAATCCTAGACTTAATGTTTTGAGTTTTGTCTGAAACTGGTTAGTTGGTTTGACAAGCGTAAAAAAAGTGGCAAAAGAACAAGGCAATTGTTGAAATAAAGAGTAAAAAACAAGACAAGAATTTTAAAATAAAAACTGGAAATTGCTTTGAATTGAAATGTGGAAGCACTCGTACATTTTCAAGCGTGAACTCGTTTCTCTCTTAGATGCAGGTACTTTGAGTGTAATGCTCTTAATGCTAAGAAATGCTACCCCATAACGAATACAATTATTTGCTTAAATAGAAAAAGCTTCATAAATTCCCCCACGTTCTTGCTAGCGTGCAAACTCATAACTTATCTTGGCGCCATTTTGGCATGTCTGTCGATAGCCTCGCCATGTTGTTCAATAGGTTTGTCGAGCCATTCTTCTCCAAGTGACAACTTCGTGGACTAGACCCTGTTGACACCTCTTCTGAAGTCTTTAATGGGCCTTCCCATTTAAAAGATACCTTCTCATTTCGGGCTTGTTTCCTTGTCGAAAATGCTTTGTCAACAATACTATAGTACCCACCCCGCCCCATACCCGCACAATATATATTTATATATTTTTACTTTTATTATTATATACACATGTATGCTTATCAATTTTATTAAGTACATTACTATTAAACTTGTCCACGTTTTAATAAATGTCTTTATTTATTTCTTAATTTAACAACAACATTCTTGGATTTTTTTTTAATGTTGTTAAAAATTTAAAATGACATGATAAATTACAATTGATCGATAATTTTTTATTAAAAATATGAATAAACGAGTGCGGGTATAGGTACTTAGGTGCGGGTATAGGTACTTAGGTACCCATAGAATACGAGTACAAAAATTGATGTCCATGCAGATATGGAATCTCGTACAATTTTTTTTTCAAACTGTAAATATGAAAATAGATACTATAATACCCTACTCATACTCTTCCCATTGTCATCCCTATATACTAAATTTTATTGTTGATATCTACTAGCAAAGTTAATTTTTCCATCCTTAACCTGATTCTTTAATTTTATCCAAATCAATCGTACCGTTTAATTAATTACTTATAATTCAACAACAAATATTCTTATTCTTGAATCCCCGCGACCTTGTCAATTAATTACTCATCCATTTTGAAAATATTTGTTTAGGTTTATTTAACTTGTTAAAAATATATTTTGCTTGTTTTTTTTTTTAAATATGTGCTCATTTTAAGTTATCATAGACACTAAAAAGATGTATTTTTAAAATTTTTCTTTGGCATTATATATGTTACTTTTGTTCTTTATCATTCCTATCACATACCAAAATCACTCCGTATCCGTTGTACTCTTTTCTATTTTATTACTCATTTAACATGACAAGTGATAGGGATGTATGTAATACGGTTTGAATTGAAATTGGTCAAATCTAAAACCAAATCATATACAATATTTCAATTTGAGTTGATTTAAACGAATTCATTAATTTTTTGACTGATTTGGATAAAAAAATAGTTTATCCAAATAATTTTTTTAAAACATTAAATAATTAAATAATTAGTCATCATATTTTTTTTTTAAGGGGGAATTTTGACGGCATCACAGCCAAATTAGCTAACGGTGGTTCTTGATTGTCCAATATCTCTTTTTAGTAGAATTCTAAGGATATGATATTCGTGGTCAGCACCTATCTGACATATTTTCTCCAAAAAAAATTGAAATTTTTTCCAGGATGAAACCCCCTACTATGGTGTTGAATCTAGAATGTAGAACTTTATAAGCCATCTTTGGATAGAGATGGAAAGGATGGTGAATTGTGGCCAATGGGAATTTTATCGGCCCCCTAATGGACGCCACTGTACTTGTAAAAAAGAATAGGTGTGTGGTATCCATATGTGGGTAGGAGATAATCAGAGGCCTTAGTAAATGAGGGTGTTTAGGACTATCTCGCGGTAGAGATAGGCCATGTTTGATGATGTTTATGGTGGTAAGGGTCCAACTCACATGAGGTGAAAGGCTTTGGGATATGCGTAATGTTGGTTAGATTAAGTTATGATTTGTCTCTCTTTCGTTAGGGGAAAATTATTTATAGAGGTCCTTGGGCCTAGAGTTTCCTTGTGAATGATAATCGTGCACTAGTCAATGATGGGCTATTGAATTCATGCTTTTTAGGAGGATTTGGATCAACTATTGACTCTGACTTTCCTCTGTTCAAGAAACGTCTTTCTCCATGTTTCTCATAACTGGACGAGTGAGAGACACTTAGGGAGAGGCGCTTCTCACCAAGGGTGACATATGGTCATTGTTCTTTTTAAGGGTTATAGCTCCCCTGCTTTTGTTAGGCCTTTTGCAAATATAACACTACATATTGTATGAAATCATGTTTGCTATTGAATATGGTAACAAGAAGAATTGGAGAGTTTTTTGATTAAAATTGACTTAATGTTAGTCATTCGTGCATTTTTTAACTTGAATTTTGTCCATTAACATCTTTTAGTTAAATAGAAGAAAACTTGACACACTATACGCCAATTTAAATTCAAGACGTCTCATATTTTTTGAGAGGAAAATGCATATGTTGATAGATTATTCAAAGTTGAATTTTTTGTTGATCATGACACTTAATGGAATTCACTTCTTATTATTTTTAAAGTCTTTTAGAGGCATGTCTTCATCCTTTTTATTTTTTATTTTTTATTCAATAAAATATCTTTATCAAAAATTATTATTTTAATTAAACATTAATTATAAATTATATTAGGAAGAAAATAAATAAATTACTTATTCATTAATAATAATAATTATTGTTATTATTTGCAAAAATATTATCTATTATTATATTATATATTATTTTCTTAATGAAATTATGTTATTATTATATATGAGAAAAAAATAAAGTAAAAATTTATTATTATATTCATGTCTAACATATATAATAGAAAGTAAACCTTTCCATTTCAATAAAAGAGTAAGCTTTTCAACTAAAAAAAGAAAGCCTCAAATAAACACTATGCTTTTCCAAACCCATATTGCGACAGCTTCCTTATGAAAATCATCGGCATTCATTGATACAGTCGTTTTGGTCTTTGGTTAATTGATCATTTTTCTTAGTGAGTTTTTTCTAAAGTTATTTTTTATTGAAATTAATATAAAAATAATCTAACTCAAATAATATTAATGGGTGATATTCAAATAATATGAAAAAAATATTATTCAAATAACATACTGAAATGTTATTCAAATAAAGTGAATAAGTAAAATTTTGTTATTAGGAAGGTTTATGAATAAAATCTATAAATACAAGTATTAAAAATTTTAAATTTTCTTCAATTTTTAAAATTATTTTAGCCAATTTAAAACTTCTTTGTTTGACATTTAACACTTGAATGTGTAACTTTATAGCTAAAGATGAAGACATAAAATTGAGTGTATACCTGTAAAAAAGTTGTCTTCAAAACTTAAAAATTGCAACGAAGTGCAGTTGCCAATCGATCTTGGAATGATTCCTCTTAACTGATTAACGTGGACAGAGAAGTATTGAAGTTGAGGAAGTTGATGACACATCTTGTTTGGGAGAGTTCCATTTAAATTGTTTATGTCAAAGTTGATATATATCAAAGAAGAGAGGTTGAAGAAAGAGTCTGGAATTTCACCTGTATATGTAATATAATATTTAACTATTAGACCCAACAAAAATAATTATTATTATTATATGGTTGGTGAAAAGAATCTTACCCTCCAAGTTGTTATTAACAACAAACAAATATTGAAGCTTGGTCAAGTTTCCAATGTCAGCTGGCAAAGGTCCCTTGTCAAAGTTAATGTGAGATAGTTCCAAATCTTCCAACTCTTTGCAATAACTCCAAATCTTTGGCATCTTACCAGAAAAATCATTAGCAAATAGATATAGTAATCTAAGGTTTGGAAGTCCTTGGCAAACATTTGATGGAAGAATTCCAGACAGATTATTGAAACCAAGATTCAAGTCTTGCAACAATGATGAGTTGAACATAAATAATATGTTTCCAGTGAGGATATTATATTCAAGGTTCACAGTTCTCAGTTGTGTAAGATCGCCTATTTCTTTAGGAATTTCTCCTTTACATCATCACATACAGATTCATACAAAACAAGGTCATGAATGTAAAACTCTATTTGTAGTTGATGATTAGCTTCTTTACAAAGTATTCAAGCATGTTATGTTGTAAATTGTAATGGTGTGAGTAGATCATAAATACCTGATAAAGAGTTATTTGATAAATGAAGTTTTTGAAGTGAAGCCATATTTGAAATTGTTGTTGGTATCATTCCAGACAGCTTCACGTTATCTCGAATATCCAAAATCCTTAACCTATCAAGTTGACCAATAGCATGTGGAATGCTTCCTGCAATGAAATATGATAAAGTTGAGGAATTTCTCAAACTATATATTCAAGAGCAACTAGAAACTCTCGTGCTAACTCACCGTGGAAACTATTGCCTTGTAGATCAAGAACAACAAGGAAAGAGAGATTTCCCAATTGAGGTGAAATGGTACCTTGAAGGCCCATGTTACTAAGATTCAATGCCTTTATTCTTCCATGATGTTGATCACAAGTAACACCAAGCCAATTGCATGAAGAGAAAAAAGAAGAATTAGAGGAAATTGACCAATTACTAAGCACATTAAAAGGGTCTAGGGTAATAGATGATTTGAATGAAAGAAGAGCAAATTCATCGGTGGTGATGTTTTTTTTAGTACTCAAAGCTAAGCAAGTGAAGAAGTAAAAATAGAGTGAGGTTGAGAGAATACAGAGGCAAGAGTGACAATAGTATAGTTTGGCCATTTTTCAATACCAACTATGCATGACTCTAAGCTGGGGTACATATACACCGCCATACGTTTTTGTTTTCTTTCATGATAAATAAGCGTGTTTCTATCTACCACATATAAATGACCCATTTCATACGCTGGAAAGATAATTTGAATATTTTATTTATATTTAATATATCAATTTTTAATTTTATGAAATAGTCAAATTGCAAATAACAGAAGAAGACAAGTTTGTAAGGTGAAAAAGAAACTCACGTCATTGAACATTTTAATTAGTTTGACCATATTAATATCATAAATCTGTTGGGTTTAGTTTTCTTCTTAGGTGGAAAAAAATCTAAATATGAATAATTTATTTATTTCACTTATTTTAAGTAGAGAGTGTTAATTTATGGTTGAGAGAAATAGAGAGAAAAATAAGGATTCAAAAAAGAGAAAAGAAGAGAGAAGTTCATTTTCGTTTTTTCTGCACCAGTCTCATTGAATCGACGATCTCCAATTTGTTAGCCATCGGATCGAGCTGAAATTTGGTAGGCATGTTCGCAACAACTTTGACTGTTAGAATCTTCAAAACGAAGTCTGAGTTGAGAGATAATTGCTTTGCACTAAAGCTGCAGATTTGGATAATTTTTCAACTTTTGATTCATATTTGTAAGCTAGTTTGCTTTGTGGTTTGCGGTTGTTATCACTATTTTGTGAATCACTTTAAGACTCTCTTGTAATCTCAATTGATTATAGGGGAGCTATTTCTTTGGTATGGACGATCGTGGTTTTTACTCTCATTTGAGGGGTTTTCCACTTTAAAAAAAATCAGTTTTCTTTTGCCTTTATTTGTTTGGTTTGCCGTCTTATATTTATTGTTGATCCTCAAGGTTCCTACAAGTGAGGGGAATTATATATCCGTTGCATATTGTTCTGTTATTTTGTCTTAATTTCCCATTAGAGTGACATCAAAGTTATTGGTTAAGGGCTATTTTACTTGTTTGAATGATGGAGTCAAATACAAAGATAAAGATTGTATTGTTGAATGGTTCTAATTACCATTTATAGAAGGGCAAGATGAGTGGCGGAGTCAGAAAAATTCTATAACCTGGACAAAAATTTAAAGACCGCAAATTTACATTGTTTATAATATATAAATAGTCATCCATCAAAATAAAAGAGACTCGTCATTTTGTCACCAAAAATATAGTTTAAAATAAAAGAGATAAACATAACCTTACAATAGCAGGTTAAATAAAATTACTAGGCAAATGTCATTTCTGAGACTTCTTTGGGTGAATGTTCGAATAATATCAATATCATCAAGTGACTTGAATATCTCCCGCTCAGTGTAACATACTATCAAATCATTGAACCACACATCGTTCGTCTTATTGCGCAATTTTGACTTGATAATCTTCATTGCTGAAAAAGCTCTTTCAACAGATGTTGTCGACATCGACAATATCCACTACAAAAAAATGTTATTTTCCAGGGACTTAACCTCTCATAAATGGCAAAAACTCCTCACAAAGAGGAAATTTGCGAGGGGACTAGTCCCCTAGCAAAACAAGGGGTGCAAATTTATTTGCGAGGGACTATATACGTGGGTATTTTGCCAGGGATTAACCCCCTCGCTAAATGCAACTTATTTTTTATAGCCTGCAACGTGCAAGCATAGGCGCAGACTATGGCAACAGATTACGTCAGAAAATTTGTTTGGGGTAAAGTCTGTGGCAAAATGTAAAGGCTTTATCATTTCCGAGGGGATAAACCCCTGACAAATTGTCAAAATATTTATAAAAAAAATTGATATTAATAAATTGAAAATCAGTAATGATAGTTTTATAAATTATATTATTATAATAAAATTAATAAAATTAATAAAATTAATATAATAATTAAAATTCAATCAAACATAATAAAAATTAAATTAAAACTTCATACAAGTTACAATAAAATAATATTCTTAAGTTCAAAATAGTTAACATAAATTATTTCATACAAATTAAAATAAACATCAAATTTTCAAATTTAAATATTTTATTCTTGTTCATCTTGTTCTTGTTCTTCCTCTTCTTCTTCAACAATTCCTTCATATCCACTAGTTCCTCCAAATCCACCATCGGAATTTTGTCAAGCAAAAAATTAATCAAATCTTTGAACCCATTCATTTGCAATCCGCATTGCTTCTTGATACTCCTGTGTTTGCCTCCTTATTTCTTCCCGCAACTCCTTTTCTCTTCTCTGCATTTCTTGTTGCATCTCTAATTATTTTTTCTTCATCTCTTCAATTTCTGCATTTCTTGCTGCTGCTTGGATTGCTGCCTCAGTATTCGCCAAGTTTCTCACAGTTTCAAGCATTTAGGTGGTTAATATAGGTGGAGTTGATGTTCATTCTCCATCAACAAGTCTCATTTTAAAACTCCTATCACGCTGCTTGATAGTTTTGGCGTACCCTCCAGCACCATACACTCTCCCCTTTTTCTTCTTTCCACCTGAAACTTATACCATGTCCGAAAATCCACAACATGATCAATAGGATATCTCGGTGGTGGTTCAAGTTCAGGATGCTCTGACAACTGTAGGGCAAGTTGTCTATCAAACTCCTCCTACAAAAAAAAAATTGTTATAATATTTCAAATAAGCTAGGTCCATATAAAAGAATTAAATAAAATATTTTTAATATAAGAAAAACTTACTTGAGTGTTTCTTGCGCGCTCGTCAACAAACTCTCTATTTTTCTTGAGATGAGACTCTAGATGGAGCTCGTTAAGAAGTGGACTTCTACCCAACTCTTCACGCTAATTGAATAAATAAAAAAATAAGTAGTTATATATAATCTAAAATCTAAATGATAAATTAATTAAAATAATAATTAAATTTACGTACCATCTTTCGTACAACTTCAACAACACTAATACTACCCGCTGCGTAGTTGCAGCCACCAGCTTCAGATGCTCTATTTTTCTTTGCCTTTTCAGATACTTTCTTAAAATTTTTAGAATTCAAATGGGCAATAAGTTCTTGAAATAATTCTACTCCTATCCAACATGGACGTTGCTTTTTTTTTTCTTCCATTTAATTCTAACATTCCTCATGGTGTCTGAAAATCGGACACTACATTTTGAGTGAAAATTTTCTTCAATTTGGACGTTATCTCTAAGATCCCAACAACACTTCTTCTACATTGTTATATGAATTCAAAATTAAGCAATAAAGAATCAGGAATATCTCAAAAAATATAAAGAGAATATATTTAAAAAAATATAAAAGAAAAATATAAAGGAAAATATATACCTTAAATGCATTAAACCAATCTTTTCTGTCATCTTCAAGTACAGCTCCATAACTCGGTCAAAATTTTGTATACTTCTCTTTAATCATGCTTGTTATGATCGATATTTCCTGATGGGGAAAGATCCTAAACACCAAAATCTTGAGTTAGAATTGATTAAATTAAACTCAAATTTAAAATAATATAAAACATATATAAACACTTACGATTCAGAGTTGGGTCAATGACAAGTCTGCCATGATAATATCTAACTTTTTGCGGCGCATTTTTCCTCAAGATGTGCTCCCTCCTTGTTTTCTCCTTAGGAGCACTTGTATCTTCTTGAGCACTAGTTTCTTCAGGAGCACTACTGGTATCTCCAGGAACACTGGAATCTCCGGGAGCACTGGTATCTCCATGATCATCCTCAGAAGGCATGGGTCGGGGCATGCTAGATCCAACTAGTTCCATATGAATGGGACCACTCGACTGCATGGAAGGCATAGGAAAATATGTACCGGGTCTAGTAGGAAAATATGGTGTGCATCCAGTAGGACTAATAAAAGTTGTCGGGGATATAGGAGGGAATGGTGTGCATCCAGGAGGTGTGGATAGTAATCCAGTAAAAGACCCAGACATAGGTGGAGTAGTATGCATAGGAGGTGAAGTAGGATGCATAAGAGGTGGAGAATGATGCATAAGAGGTCGAGTAGGATGCATAGGAGGTAGGGTAGAATGTGGAGGATGATTTGCCACTTGACTCAATTGTGGCATAGGAATAAACAAATATGAATCACACACCTCCTCTATAATGTACCTGCTGTGGCGAGGCTTTTGTTGGGAGGCATTTTTCTTGGGTGACATTTTTTTCTATTTGAAAGAAAAACATTAAACAATGAATGTTACATAAAAGATAATATTACACAAGATAATATATATATATATATATATATATATATATATATATATATATATATATATATATATATATATATATATATATATATATATATATATATATATATATATATATATATATATATATATATATATATATATATATATATATATATATATATATATATATATATATATATATATATATATATATATATATATATATATATATATATATATATATATATATATATATATATATATATATATATATATATATATATATATATATATATATATATATATATATATATATATATATATATATATATATATATATATATATATATATATATATATATATATATATATATATATATATATATATATTTGAAAGATAATATATATAAAAGATAATATTAGACAAGATTATTTTGAAAGGTAATATTACACAAGAGTTATTACATAATACATATTCAAATTATTCATCATCATAATACACAAGAGTTATAAACTAAATATCACAAAACAAATATATCACAAAACAAAAATTTTATAATAAGAACCTGAAATTGATGAACAAATATTATTTCTTGAAGCTTTTTACAGTTTTCTCCAAAATTTAGCTACCTTTGAATATATCAATTAGTACCTGAAAATAAGAACCTGAACAAATTACACACTAATATTGAAAATAAATTAAATTTATAAAAAAATAATTTAATTTATTTACCTGAAACTTTAGATTGTGATTGAAAACTTTAGGTTTTATTTGGGAAAAGAATGAGAAGAAGAAAATTGATACTGTTGGAAGAGATGAACAATATATGAAAGGCATGGAAGAGACGAAGGGTATG